ATTTCTCAGTCTGTATACTGAGCATACACACAATCTCAGCTCCTCAAACACTGTACAACATACAGCTGATATCTAACAGTCTTTAAACTGAGGGTTCACATAATCCCAGTCCCTCAAACACTGTACAATATACAGCTGATATCCCACAGTCTGTATACTGAGGGTAAACACAATCCCAGCCCCTCAAACACTGCACAACATACAGCTGATATCACACAGTCTGTATACTGAGGGTAAACACAATCCCAGCCCCCTCAAACACTGTACAACATACAGCTGATATCTCACAGTCTGTATACTGAGGGTAAACACAATCCCATCCCCTCAAACACTGTACAACATACAGCTGATATCTCACAGTCTGTATACTGAGGGTACACACAATCCCAGCCCCTCAAACACTGTACAACATACAGCTGATATCTCACAGTCTGTATACTGAGGGTACACACAATCCCAGCCCCTCAAACACTGTACAACATACAGCTGATATCTCACAGTCTGTATACTGAGGGTAAACACAATGCCAGTCCCTCAAACACTATAACATATCGCTGATATCTCACAGACTGTATACTGAGGGTAAACACAATCCCAGCCACTCAAACACTGTACAACATACAGCTGATATCTCACAGTCTGTATACTGAGGGTCAACACAATTCCAGCCCCTCAAACACTACAACATACAGCTGATATCTTACAGTCTGTATATTGAGGGTAAACACAATGCCAGTCCCTCAAACACTACAACATATAGCTGATATCTCACAGTCTGTATACAGAGGGTACACACAATCCCAGCCCCTCAAACACTGTACAACATACAGCTGATATCTCACAGTCTGTATACTGAGGGTAAACACAATGCCAGTCCCTCAAACACTACAACATATCGCTGATATCTCACAGTCTGTATACAGACGGTACACACAACCCCAGCCCCTCAAACACTGTACAACATACAGCTGATATCTCACAGTCTGTATACTGAGGGTTAACACAACCCCAGCCCCTCAAACACTGTACAACATACAGCTGATATCTCACAGTCTGTATACTGAGGGTAAACACAATCCCATCCCCTCAAACACTGTACAATATACAGCTAATATCACACAGTCTGTATACTGAGGGTAAACACAATCCCAGCCCCTCAAACACTGTACAACATACAGCTGATATCTCACAGTCTGTATACTGAGGGTAAACACAATCCCATCCCCTCAAACACTGTACAATATACAGCTGATATCTCACAGTCTGTATACTGAGGGTAAACACAATCCCAGCCCCTCAAACACTGTACAACATACAGCTGATATCTCACAGTCTGTATACTGAAGGTACACACAATCCCAGCCCCTCAAACACTGTACAACATACAGCTGATATCTCAGTCTGTATACTGAGGGTAAACACAATCCCAGCCCCTCAAACACTGTACAACATACAGCTGATATCTCACAGTCTGTATACAGAGGGTACACACACTCCCAGCCCCTCAAACACTGTACAACATACAGCTGATGTCTCACAGTCTGTATACTGAGGGTTAACACAATGACACCCCCTCAAACACTGTACAACATACAGCTGATGTCTCACAGTCTGTATACTGAGGGTTAACACAATGACACCCCCTCAAACACTGTACAACATACAGCTAATATTTGTATTTCAGACTCTAATTCACAGTCAACTTCTAGCTGCCAATTCAGCAGATTTATAATGTAGTTCAAATTTTTAGCTAGAAATTTTACCTGTACATTTTGCACAGGGTCTTAAAATAATCATTAACAGAACGTCACTGAAACACAGAATCCTTAATACAAGCCCACAATGGTAGTGATTGGAAAATTAGGAGATAAAAAATTCAGGATAATTACAAGACTATCACCCTTGCAACATTTTGCAAGATCTATTCAAATTTCACACCAGAAATTTGTCCACACAAATTGGATGTTCAGCTTCTTTCAAATCTGTCCCAGCACTACACAATCATTTTATTCTCCGGAATAAAACAACCGTAATTCCATCGAAGGTGAGGCCTCCACAGCTAGATCACGAATCCATAAATCTTTGTCAAAATTCCATCATTTACGCTCCTTACGAAATTCATTTATCCAGAAACGGGAAAAAAAATCCTGATACACTATACTCACCTTGTGCTGAACTTCCACCCACTTACAAGTGTTTCAAACTCGTAGTTTACATTTAACCATCACGTCATATCTTTCACGTTACCACGTTCACATAAAGCCTTGTTTTCGTCACTTGTCACAGGTGCAGTCTACGATTCCGAAACAATCCCAAAGCTTCTCACAGACATAGATTTCAATCTGCGTTGGCTTCAGCGTACGTACAGTGGAAGAAGTGCTTTAGTCAAACAAATGGTCCATGGACCTGATGTGACATGCTTATATGTATAAGTCACTTACACTGCCAAAGCTTCCCACAGACTAAGATTTCAATCTGTGTTGGCTCCAGTGTACGTACACTGGAACACTGCTGTAGTCAAACAAATGGTCCATGGGCCTGATGTGACATGCTTATATGTATTAGTCTTTTACATTGATCCTAAAGTAACACGCTTGCCTATCTTTCAAACTTTGCCACACGTACTGCACACTGAGACACAGCAATTGATTTTTAAATCTCCCAAAGTTAAACTTGGCATATTGCTAGCACAGTACACGACACAAACCTATCCATCCAGCCATAATTCTCACCAATACAGTCTTTTAACAGGCGAAATAGTCACTTTACATTTCCTGTTAAATAAGAATAGTGGGGTAACTTAAAGGACTATTCCATGACATATTGTAGGGACACAAGCCAGCATGGTAGACCAGTCCATTTAGACAGAGACAATATAGTCTGACCCAGACAAAGATGGGACAAGCCGTATACCTTACACTTACCAAGCGGCACCAGTGATAAGTCAGCATGTCTGACAAGCTCAATACGACCAATACCACATAACTTTTCATCTCAGTAACCATCCAAACACATTTACTCCACAAAAAATCCATATTCCATGTTTTCTTTAATTATTCTCTGTACACTTCTCCATCGGCCACTGACGAAACCATGGTAACCAAACTAGGACAGTCTGGTATCTTGATATGTAACTTGAAAACTAGTAACAATAGTTACCAAATTAGGACTCACTCGTTAACAAGAGCTATAACCTAGAGCACAAGTAACCATGGTTACCAAACTAGGTAATTCAGAAACCAGACTTGTCTAACCCTAACACAAGTAACCATGGTTACCAGGTCTTAACTAAAACACATGTGTTAAAACAACTAAAAAATAACTGCAAACAGCAACTAATAATTATAACATAATTATGTCAAAGTTACAGTAATTAAAACATGTCACCATAGTTACAACTCTAGGTATGTAGTTATGGTAACTAATACATGTTACCATAGTTAAAACTCTAGGTCTGTAGTTATGGTAACTAATACATGTGACCATAGTTACAACTCTAGGTATGTAGTTATGGTAAATAATACATGTTACCACAGTTACAACTCTAGGTCTGTAGTTATGGTAACTAATAGATGTCACCATAGTTACAACTCTAGATATGTAGTTATGGTAACTAATACATGTTACCACAGTTACAACTCTAGGTCTGTAGTTATGGTAACTAATACATGTCACCATAGTTACAAATCTAGGTCTGTAGTTATGGTAAATAATACATGTCACCATAGTTACAAATCTAGGTCTGTAGTTATGGTAAATAATACATGTAACCATGGTAACTAGGTCTGTAGTTATGGTAAATAATACATGTCACCATAGTTACAAATCTAGGTCTGTAGTTATGGTAAATAATACATGTCACATAGTTACATATGGTAAATAATACATGTCACCATAGTTACAAATCTAGGTCTGTAGTTATGGTAAATAATACATGTCACCATAGTTACAAATCTAGGTCTGTAGTTATGGTAAATAATACATGTCACCATAGTTACAAATCTAGGTCTGTAGTTATGGTAAATAATACATGTCACCATAGTTACAAATCTAGGTCTGTAGTTATGGTAAATAATACATGTCACCATAGTTACCACTCTAGGTCTGTAGTTATGGTAAATAATACATGTTACCATAGTTACAACTCTAGGTCTGTAGTTATGGTAACTAATACATGTCACCATAGTTACAACTCTAAGTCTGTAGTTATGGTAACTAATACATGTCACCATAGTTACAACTCTAGGTCTGTAGTTGTGGTAACTAATACATGTCACCATAGTTACCACTCTAGGTCTGTAGTTATGGTAACTAATACATGTCACCATAGTTACCACTCTAGGTCTGTAGTTATGGTAAATAATACATATTGCCATAGCTACTTTAGGTCTGTAGTTATGGTAACTAATACATGTCACCATAGTTACAACTCTAGGTATGTAGTTATGGTAAATAATACATGTCACCATAGTTACAACTCTAGGTCTGTAGTTGTGGTAACTAATACATGTCACCATAGTTACCACTCTAGGTCTGTAGTTATGGTAACTAATACATGTCACCATAGTTACCACTCTAGGTCTGTAGTTATGGTAAATAATACATATTGCCATAGCTACTTTAGGTCTGTAGTTATGGTAACTAATACATGTCACCATGGTTACATAAATAAGTCCTATTTATTCATGAAATCAAGTTTCCATGAAACAATTTGGTCTTAAAAAGCTAGAAAATTTGAGTCATTCTATTTCACAGTATTTTGATCCGTAGTTCGGGTGACATGGAACATATACTATCACAATATCTTTACAAAGCCAGTGCAGACATAGTAATAGATAGGAACTATAGTCATGTTAATGTAACAGAAATGAAATACATACACAATATTTTTAAAATCATATAAAATCAAAATACAATATCATAAAATCCGAACGAAAAAACAGAAGGAAATTTCAGAGAAAAACCAGTAAATCTAACACAATGTATTGATAAGTACTTACTACAGGAGATGAAGGTGTCACCTAGTGTTCCAACGCAGCGTTAATAGAAAGTAGTATGTTAGATACTGTAGGTATAGCTAGTATTCACCACACACAGTGCTACATAACACCATCCCTTTCTTATATAAGGCTGTTAATATTCTTTCAAACAGAAATAATACCCTGCGAATAACATACAATCTCCCAATACTTCTAATGTAAGCTCTCGGTAATACTTGTTTCTTATCAGTTTCCTCGTGTATCCTAATTATTTTTTCTGGCAGCACTTGTCTTAATATTGGATGCAAATTCATTATGCATTTAATACTTTCTATAGACCAAAGAGATGAGGTGATAAGATTGTGTCTCTACTCCTTACAGATGGACAGACAAGATGTGACCAGACAGATTTACAGACAACATTAAGCCTATAGACCTAACAAATGGACACACAAGACTGCTGAAACAGAACAGACAGATGGACAGACAAGACTGTTTATAGGCCAGGAAGGTGGATGAACAAGATTGTGTCTGTAGACCAGCAATGGACAGAAAAGATTGTGGTAATAGAACAGACAGAGGAACAGACAAGAGAGTTGATAGGCCAGGAAGATGGATGAACAATATTGTGTCTATAGACCAGCAATGGACAGAAAAGACTGTGGTAATAGAACAGACAAATGGACAGACAAGAGAGTTGATAGGCAAGGAAGAAGGAGAGACAAGGTTGTGTCTATAGACCAGACAGACAGACCAGACTGTAATTATAGAACAGACATGTGGACTTAAATGATGATGTCTACAGATCCAGGAACCTAAATATGAAATTTAAGAAAGATCTACCCAATACTCCTCAAGAAAGAAACTATAATGAATTTTTATGGTCAATATCCAAGATGGCCATCGGGTCTGGGACATCAAATAGGAAAACAATGATTAGTGACTCCTAGTCTGGGACATCACACAAGGACAACAGGACAGCAACAAATATACTGACATCTGATCTGGGACATCACAGCAGCATAACAATGATTATACTGACCCCTGATCTGGGACATCGCATCTGCGAACAAGGATTATACTGACCCCTGATCTAGGACATCGTACCAGGATAACAATGACTAAACTGACCCCTGATCTGGGACATCGTACCTGGATGACAATGATATACTGACCCCTGATCTAGGACATCGTACCAGAACGACAAGGACTATACTGACCCCTGATCTGGGACATCGTACCAGGACGACAATGATATACTGACCCCTGATCCAGGACATCATATCTGGATGACAATGATATACTGACCCCTGATCTGAGATATCATACCAGGTTGACAAAGACTATACTGACCTCAGATCTAGGACATCGTACCAGGACGACAATGATATACTGACCCCTAATCTGGGACATCGTACCAGGACGACAATGATTATACTGACCCCTGATCTGGGACATCGTACCAGGACGACAATGACTAAACTGACCCATGATCTGGGACATCGTACCAGGACGACAATGATATACTGACCCCAGATCTAGGACATTGTACCAGGACGACAATGATATACTGACCCCTGATCTGAGATATCATACCAGGTTGACAAAGACTATACTGACCTCAGATCTAGGACATCGTACCAGGACGACAATGATATACTGACCCCTAATCTGGGACATCGTACCAGGACGACAATGATTATACTGACCCCTAATCTGGGACATCACAGCAGGACGACAATGATATACTGACCCCTAACCTCGGACATTGTACCAGAATGACAATGACTATACTGACCCCTGATCATGGATATTCCATCAAGACAACAATAATTATACTTAAATCTGATCTAGGACTTCACGACAGGACAAGGATTATACTGACAACTAGTCTGAAACATTCACACATTAATACAAATGATTATACTCACCCCTGGTCTGGGAAGGGATAGATACACGGGCTTGTCCATGCGACCTTGACATACATCATTGACCTCTTTAACAAGAACAGACAGGTCATTAATCTGAGACTCCCAAGCATCAGAAAATGTGTCAAGGTTTTCTCTAGCTATTTTACTATTAGGATACTGACTTAGGGTTTTTGCTGCCATCATTGTCTGGAAAGAAAAACAGAAATTAAAGTTAGAAACATATTTAACCTTAATCGCTACAAAATTCCAACAATTCATGTCTCTACTTTATGATCTATGCAATATTCCAACAATTCATGTCTCTACTTTATGATATATGCAATATTCCAACAATTCATGTCTTGTCTTTATGATCTACACAATATTCCAACAATTCATGTCTAGTCTTTATGTTCTACACAATATTCCAACAATTCAGGTCTCTACTTTATGATCTACACAATATTCCAACAATTCATGTCTCTAGTCTTTATGATCTATACAATATTCCAACAATTCATGTCTCTACTTTATGATCTATACAATATTCCAACAATTCATGTCTAGTCTTTATGATCTATACACTATTCCAACAATTCATGTCTCTACTTTATGATCTATGCAATATTCCAACAATTCATGTCTCTAGTCTTTATGATCTACACAATATTCCAACAATTCATGTCTCTACTTTATGATCTATACGAAATTCCATCAATTCATGTCTTGTCTTTATGATCTATACACTATTCCAACAATTCATGTCTCTACTTTATGATCTATGCAATATTCCAACAATTCATGTCTCTAGTCTTTATGATCTACACAATATTCCAACAATTCATGTCTCTACTTTATGATCTATGCAATATTCCAACAATTCATGTCTTGTCTTTATGATCTATACAATATTCCAACAATTCATGTCTCGTCTTTATGATCTATACAATATTCCAATAATTCATGTCTCTACTTTATGATCTATACAATATTCCAACAATTCATGTCTAGTCTTTATGACCTACACAATATTCCAACAATTCATGTCTAGTCTTTATGTTCTACACAATATTCCAACAATTCAGGTCTCTACTTTATGATCTAGACAAAATTCCAACAATTCATGTCTCTACTTTATGATCTATACAATATTCCAACAATTCATGTCTCGTCTTTATGATCTACACAATATTCCAACAATTCATGTCTCTACTTTATGATCTATACAATATTCCAACAATTCATGTCTCTACTTTATGATCTATACAATATTCCAACAATTCATGTCTCTACTTTATGATCTATACAACATTCCAACAATTCATGTCTCGTCTTTATGATCTATACAATATTCCAACAATTCATGTCTAGTCTTTATGATCTATACTCTATGTCTTGTCTTTATGATCTACACAATATTCCAACAATTCATGTCTCTACTTTATGATCGATACAATATTCCAACAATTCATGTCTCTACTTTATGATCTATACAATATTCCAACAATTCATGTCTAGTCTTTATGATCTATACAATATTCCAACAATTCATGTCTAGTCTTTATGATCTATACAATATTCCAACAATTCATGTCTAGTCTTTATGATCTATACAATATTCCAACAATTCATGTCTCGTCTTTATGATCTATACAATATTCCAACAATTCATGTCTAGTCTTTATGATCTATACAATATTCCAACAATTCATGTCTCTAGTCTTTATGATCTATACAATATTCCAACAATTCATGTCTAGTCTTTATGATCTATACAATATTCCAACAATTCATGTCTCTACTTTATGATCTACACAATATTCCAACAATTCATGTCTCTAGTCTTTATGATCTATACAATATTCCAACAATTCATGTCTAGTCTTTATGATCTATACAATATTCCAACAATTCATGTCTCTACTTTATGATCTATACAATATTCCAACAATTCATGTCTAGTCTTTATGATCTATACAATATTCCAACAATTCATGTCTCTACTTTATGATCTACACAATATTCCAACAATTCATGTCTCTAGTCTTTATGATCTATACAATATTCCAACAATTCATGTCTAGTCTTTATGATCTATACAATATTCCAACAATTCATGTCTCTACTTTATGATCTACACAATATTCCAACAATTCATGTCTCTACTTTATGATCTATACGAAATTCCATCAATTCATGTCTTGTCTTTATGATCTACACAATATTCCAACAATTCATGTCTCTACTTTATGATCGATACAATATTCCAACAATTCATGTCTAGTCTTTATGATCTACACAATATTCCAACAATTCATGTCTAGTCTTTATGATCTATACAATATTCCAACAATTCATGTCTAGTCTTTATGATCTACACAATATTCCAACAATTCATGTCTAGTCTTTATGATCTATACAATATTCCAACAATTCATGCCTTGTCTTTATTATCTATACAATATTCCAACAATTCATGTCTAGTCTTTATGATCTATACAATATTCCAACAATTCATGTCTCTACTTTATGATCTACACAATATTCCAACAATTCATGCCTTGTCTTTATGATCTACACAATATTCCAACAATTCATGTCTAGTCTTTATGATCTATACAATATTCCAACAATTCATGTCTCGTCTTTATGATCTATACAATATTCCAACAATTCATGTCTCGTCTTTATGATCTATACAATATTCCAACAATTCATGTCTCTAGTCTTTATGATCTATACAATATTCCAACAATTCATGTCTCGTCTTTATGATCTATACAATATTCCAACAATTCATGTCTTGTCTTTATGATCTATACACTATTCCAACAATTCATGTCTAGTCTTTATGATCTATACAATATTCCAACAATTCATGTCTCTACTTTATGATCTATACAATATTCCAACAATTCATGTCTCGTCTTTATGATCTACACAATATTCCAACAATTCATGTCTCTATTTTATGATCTATACAATATTCCAACAATTCATGTCTCGTCTTTATGATCTATACAATATTCCAACAATTCATGTCTTGTCTTTATGATCTATACACTATTCCAACAATTCATGTCTAGTCTTTATGATCTATACAATATTCCAACAATTCATGTCTCTACTTTATGATCTATACAATATTCCAACAATTCATGTCTCGTCTTTATGATCTACACAATATTCCAACAATTCATGTCTCTACTTTATGATCTATACAATATTCCAACAATTCATGTCTCTAGTCTTTATGATCTATACAATATTCCAACAATTCATGTCTCGTCTTTATGATCTATACAATATTCCAACAATTCATGTCTAGTCTTTATGATCTACACAATATTCCAACAATTCAGGTCTCTACTTTATGATCTATACAATATTCCAACAATTCATGTCTCTACTTTATGATCTATACAATATTCCAACAATTCATGTCTAGTCTTTATGATCTACACAATATTCCAACAATTCATGTCTCTACTTTATGATCTATACAATATTCCAACAATTCATGTCTCTATTTTATGATCTATACAATATTCCAACAATTCATGTCTAGTCTTTATGATCTATACAATATTCCAACAATTCATGTCTAGTCTTTATGATCTATACAATATTCCAACAATTCATGTCTCTACTTTATGATCTATACAATATTCCAACAATTCATGTCTCTACTTTTTGATCTATACAATATTCCAACAATTCATGTCTCTACTTTATGATCGATACAATATTCCAACAATTCATGTCTCTACTTTATGATCTATACAATATTCCAACAATTCATGTCTCGTCTTTATGATCTATACAATATTCCAACAATTCATGTCTAGTCTTTATGATCTACACAATATTCCAACAATTCAGGTCTCTACTTTATGATCTATACAATATTCCAACAATTCATGTCTCTACTTTATGATCTATACAATATTCCAACAATTCATGTCTAGTCTTTATGATCTACACAATATTCCAACAATTCATGTCTCTACTTTATGATCTATACAATATTCCAACAATTCATGTCTCTATTTTATGATCTATACAATATTCCAACAATTCATGTCTAGTCTTTATGATCTATACAATATTCCAACAATTCATGTCTAGTCTTTATGATCTATACAATATTCCAATAATTCATGTCTCGTCTTTATGATCTATACAATATTCCAACAATTCATGTCTAGTCTTTATGATCTACACAATATTCCAACAATTCATGTCTCTAATTTATGATCTATACAATATTCCAACAATTCATGTCTCTAGTCTTTATGATCTATACAATATTCCAACAATTCATGTCTTGTCTTTATGATCTATACAATATTCCAACAATTCATGTCTAGTCTTTATGATCTACACAATATTCCAACAATTCATGTCTTGTCTTTATGATCTATACACTATTCCAACAATTCATGTCTAGTCTTTATGATCTATACAATATTCCAACAATTCATGTCTCTACTTTATGATCTATACAATATTCCAACAATTCATGTCTCGTCTTTATGATCTACACAATATTCCAACAATTCAGGTCTCTACTTTATGATCTATACAATATTCCAACAATTCATGTCTCTAGTCTTTATGATCTATACAATATTCCAACAATTCATGTCTCGTCTTTATGATCTATACAATATTCCAACAATTCATGTCTCTAGTCTTTATGATCTATACAATATTCCAACAATTCATGTCTAGTCTTTATGATCTATACAATATTCCAACAATTCATGTCTCTAGTCTTTATGATCTATACAATATTCCAACAATTCATGTCTAGTCTTTATGATCTATACAATATTCCAACAATTCATGTCTCTAGTCTTTATGATCTATACAATATTCCAACAATTCATGTCTAGTCTTTATGACCTACACAATATTCCAACAATTCATGTCTAGTCTTTATGATCTATACAATATTCCAACAATTCATGTCTCTACTTTATGATCTATACAATATTCCAACAATTCATGTCTCTAGTCTTTATGATCTACACAATATTCCAACAATTCATGTCTAGTCTTTATGATCTACACAATATTCCAACAATTCATGTCTAGTCTTTATGATCTACACAATACTCCAAACAATTCATGCCTTGTCTTTATTATCTATACAATATTCCAACAACTCATGTCTCTACTTTATGATCTATACAATATTCCAA